CCCGGTCTGATGCAGCCCCCCCCAGCCCAATGCAGCCCCCCAACCCAACGCCGGGCACCCCTGATGCACCCGTTGTGCTTTGCAGCTCAGGCGGCTCACGTGGTGGACGCTGTCGCCGGAGCCGCTGCCCGCCGGTGAGCCCCGCGTCCCGGCCCTCCTCGTGCCTCGGTTTCCCCTTGGCTGCCCCCAGTGCCACGAGAAGGAGGGTCCCTCGCTGCAGGAGGGACGTTGAGGTGCTGGGAGGGACACRAAGCTGGTGAAGGGGCTGGAAYAGGGAYCTTACGAGGAGCTGCTGAGGGATTTGGGTCATTTAGTGTGGGGAGAGGAGGCTCAGGCTCAGTTGCTCTCTACAACTACCTGAAAGGAGGTTGCAGTGGGACGGTCTCTTCTCTGGAATAAMTGCAGATAGGACAAGAGGAAACGGCCTCAAGTTGCACCCAGGGAGGTTCAGGTTGGACATGAGGAGGGATTTGTACGGGATACAGCGGGGAAGCACTGGAACRGGCTGCCAGGGAAGCGGGGGAGTCTCCATCCCCGGCAGCGCTCAAGGAACGTGCGGATGAGGCGCGTAGGGACGCGGTTTGCCAGGTGGGATGGCAGGACCTCACAGTCGGACTTGATCTCGAGGGCCTTTCCCACCCRTAAGGATCCCGTGATTCTAGGAGGCTGCCCCTGTCCCCCGCAGGCTCCCAGGACGGGTCCCCGCGCGGCCGCTCCGGTGCCGAGGAGCCGCCGGCCGCAGCCGAGCGCCCGGCGTGGACGCGGGCGTGCGGCGCCGGCGCCCTGCTCCTGCTCTGCCTCAACGTGTTCGGCTACGCCTATTTTGCCTAGCGGGCCGCTGGCCCCACGGGGGGACAGGGCCACACGGGCAAGGCGGGATGGATTTTCTGTGCCGTGTTTGGCATGCGGGATGTTTCCACYAGTGCAACGAGCTGGGCGTTCTCAGCGGGCGGTTGTCCTGGTGCTGGTGAGGGCGGACGGGCAGCAAGGGARCCAGGAGCCCTGTCCAGGGCTCAGGGCTCGCACACGGAGGTGGCCACGGGATGGCTCCGGTCAGGCCCTTTGGAGAGGCGCGGAAGGACCGGTCCCGCTTGAGGCTTTCATTCAAACACACTTTATTAGCTCAAAACAGTAATAAAGAACAAAATATGAAAAATGATTAAAAAAAAAGCTGAGGCTTGTATGACTGGGCTCCCTTGCACCCAGGAGGACACCGGGAGCCACTGCRGAGCAACAGAGCCGGATTCCAGCAGCGCGCACGGCTCCTTGGCATGGAGCCCCGAGCACCCGTCAGCAAGCCTGGCCCTTCATTCCCAGCACCCGGAGCTCGGAATCCCACAGCCTCCCACGCGGCTGCCGCAGCGCCTCCAGAGGGCTCATCCTCAGCCCGTGGTCACCATCACCCTACCGGGTACGTGGGGTGAAGCCGCCCACATCCCAACAGGGTTTCCCYGGGATTTTGCCGTTTGCATGGGAGAAGCCTGGGAGAGCCATGGTGAAGTCCGCCCAGCCTGGYGTGGTCCAAGAGGACACAGAGGCCACAGACACGCAGGGGGCTCCTGAGAGTCCGGATGGAAGGGAGGATCCGGAGGAGCCCGTCGGGGTGGTCACTTGTGGATGGGATGGACGTAGCTGCGGGGGAAGAGGCCGACGCGCCCGTAAACCTTGCCCTGCCACCAGTTGGGGTCGGGGCAGCCGAGCACCTCGATGATGTCCCCGCGGAGGAAGGGCAGCTGGGAGCGCTCACGGCTGCAGAAGTCAAACTGCGCTTGCACGAACTTGGGTCTGCTCACCTGCGGGAAGCAGGGTGGAAAAGATGGGGAAAAAAAAAAGGTTGGGAAAGGTCTTTGAGATCATGGAGCCCCAGCGCAAACCCACGAGCACCCCAGGGCTCTCCGGTGTGGCGCAGCCGCCGCCGCGGCTCCCCGGTACCTCCCGGCYGTGGTCCCGGAGGAAGAGCTGCCGCTCTCTGGCGATGCTGGTGGTGCGGTAGAAGTCCACGAGCTCGTTGAGGGAGTTGAACTTCTCCTCCCAGAGGAAGTACTTGCCGTTGCGCTCACGGAGCACCATGAAGTGCTGCACGTGCTGCCCGTAGCTGCGGAGGGCCGGGCCGTCACCGTCACCGTCACCGTGCCCGCGCAGGGGGCCGCGGCGCCAGGGCCAGGCCCCGCGGCAGGGGCAGGGACCGGCCGCGCTGGTGACGCAGGCTCCGCGCCGGGCCCTCTCATTAGGGCACAGAACCTCCTTCTGCGCTTAATTAGAGCTCGGCAGCGTGAGAAAGCGCCGGGCCGGCCCCGGCTCCTTGCTCGTGGGCTGGGGGCCGCAAGGGGCAGCCGTGGGGTGGGTGGCGGGTTCCTGCAGCGCCCTGCACCCCAGCGCGGAGCTGCRGGGACCCTGGGGTGCCTTGGGGCCCAGGGATGCTGAGGGCGACCTGCTCCTCTCTGCTCCATGGGAGTCGCTTCCCTGGCTGCTTTTGCTCCCTCTGCATCCCGTGCTTCCGCAACCGTGCACGCTGGAGCATCCCGCATGCTCCGTGCGCATCCCATGTGCTCCCTCTGCATCCCGCATGTCCCTCTGCATCCCACCCACTCCCTCCACATCCCATGCACTCCCTCCACATCCCATGCGCTCCCTCCACATCCCATGAACTCCCCCCACATCCCACATGCTCCCTCTGCCCCCGATGTGCTCCCTGCATATCCTGCACAGTCTCTCTGCATCCAGATGCTCCCTCTGCATCCCATGCACTCCCTCCATATCCCACATGTCCCTCTGCATCCCACCCACTCCCTCCACATCCCACGCGCTCCCCGCGCGTCCCGCTTACTTGACSGAGATGGAGAACTCCCCCGGGGCGCTCTCGCTCTCGCGGATGAGGAAGGCCCCCAGGTGCCTGCGCTGCAGCAGCAGCTCCTCGGCCGCCTGCCGTGCCACCCTGCCCACGTACCACCTGCACCGAGCCCAGGGGTGTCAGCCGGGCCCGCCGCGCTCTGCGGCGCCCTTGGGTGCCCAGGGGGACAAGGATGCGTCGCGCGCAGGTTGCAACAGGCCTGGGTTGTGCCGGGCTTTAATGAGCCGGTAATAGGATTGCGGCTAATGCCGGGATAATCCCATAAATGCGCCTCGCTCCCCAATTACGGCGGCTTTAGCCCCGTGCGGGACCGCGGCTCTGCGCGTGCGGGTTGCACGGACGGGCTGCCGCGGTGCAGGGCCCCGGGGACGCTGCCCATTGCTCCGTGACAGTGTCCCCGTGCCCAGGGCCACCCCAGCTCACGGCAGCCCTTTGGGYGCGGGGATGTGTCGTGTGGATGGTCCCTGGTGCTGGTGGATGGGATGGGGTCCCGCGGCAGGCCGGTACTTACGGGTGAGGCTTSACCTTGATGTAGTTCTTGGGGACGAAGCCTTCGTTACCGTAAAGCTCGGCCTTGTACCAGTTCTGGTCGTCCTCCATGTTGAGGATCTGCGGGGACAGGAGCTGGCGTCACCCAGTGTCACCCAGCGAGAGGGGTCTGCCAAAGCCAGGCTTGGGGCTGGGGCTGCCCCACAGGAACGTGCCCCGGAGCCGGGGCCGTGTCCTTGTGCCACCCGGGACGCGGTGGCTGCCCCCMCAGCCCCGTGCGGCCCCTGTTTCCCTACAGCCAGCAGGGAGGGAAGGAGCTGGGTCTGGAGGCATCATAGGGGTGGATGGAGCCTGTGTCCCCACACATCCCAAACTCCTTGGGCATCTGCATGTCCCTGCGCATCCCTGTGTCCCTCTGTGCATTGTCCTTGCACATCCTCATGTCCCTGTGTATCCCTGTGTCCCTGCACATCCCCACATCCCTGTGCATTCCACATCCCTGTCCATGCCCGTGTTCCTACACATCCCCACATCCCTGTGCATCCCACATCCCTGCACATCCCCACGTCCCTGCGCTTCCCCGTGTCCCTCTGGCCTGGGACTCGGCACTGTGCATGAGCAGCAGGTCGGTGGGCCCCAGTCGGGACCATGCGGGAGACGCGTGCGGTGGCACYGTGACGGGCACCCCGGCTGCTGGCTCTGCCGCCCTGCTCCCCAAAACCCTCCGCGATGCCTGTGCTCCCGCAGGCCGAGCCCCAGAGAGACGCCAAGGCTGGGCACATATGGGAGTCACATCGGATCTGCGCCGGAGCCGCGCCGGAGCCGCGTCGTCCCCACGGGCTGTACCTTCAGCGTGTCGCCCTTGCGGAAGGGCAGCTCGTCCCTCTCGGCGGCCTGGAAGTCGTACAGAGCCACGGACTCCATGGCGGGGCCGGCGCCTGGGGTTGCTGCTGCGTGGGCCCGGCAGCGGTGCCGGGGCAGGAAGCGGCGTGGGCGCCAGCGCGCCGGCGCGGGCCCCGCGGCCGCCCGGAGGTGCCGGGGGAGGCRGCGGGGCCCCCTCGGACCGCCCAGTGCCACCGCTGTCCCCCTCTTGCTCCGTTATGGGGACTAGCCGCTGCCCCGAGGGAGTCTCTGATGTCTCGTAAAGGGCTGAGCTCCCGGTGTGGCCTTGGCGAGATGTGGGCAGAGGGGTTGGAAGGGATCAGGGTGGATGCGCTGCCCGCTGGGCACCTTCCTGCAGCTTCCGTGTGGAGCGTGCAGGATGGAGCAATGGCCCCGCGGGATGGTGTGTGTGGAAAATCCCCAGTCATTGCCGTGCTTTGCTGCAGGAATTAAACTGGGGAGAGCTGCGGCTCAATGCCACCAAAAGGACCTAGGTAGCGAGGTGAGGAGGAGGAGGAGGAAGCCACCACCATCTGTCCCATTGGGATGAGCAGGGCTAACGTGGAGACCGTGGGCCAGGACAGCTCCTGTGGTGACCACAGGCCCCCAGTTCTCCCGAAAATCTTGCCCTAGTTGAGTGCATGGGACAATCAAACGCCCTGTACCCCCCAGGACCCCTGCTTGTCCCAGGAGAGGCGGGATGGGAATTGCAGCCCAGTCTGGAGCTGCGCRGAGCACGGCTGTGTCCCGGCGGGGCTCCCGGCCCCGGGAAGCGGAGCCGAGGCCGGAGGAGGCCGGCGAGGCCGTGGGAAGGGGCTGGCTCCGCGCACGCTCCGTGTCACCGGCGGCGCGGGCTCGGTGCGGGGGCGCGGGGGGGGTCTCCGCGCTGGGGGGTTGCGGGACACTGGGCGGCCCCGCAGGCTCCCGGCGCTGGGTGACACCCGGCGGGACCGGAGCAGGACCGGAGCAGGATGGGGTCCTGCCAGCAGGTGGCAGCAGGGGGACAGCGGGGACAGTGTCCCGGCAGCGCAGCCCTGCCATCCCTCTCCCAGCCCCGGAGCGATCCCTTTGTTCCCTCCCTGGGGACTCGGCCAGGGGCTCGGAGGAAGSGGGCAGCCCCTGCGGCCCCTCCAAACAACTTCACAACAGGATGGTTTTGCGTTTTCCCTTTTTTCCTCTATATTTTGGGCAGCGCAGCCTGTAGCGGTGCGGGGGAAGTTGTGGYTCCCGCGGCTCCGCGAGAGCCGGGTGGCGAATCCAGGAGAGCCGGGCGGTGAATCCACACGCGGCAGCACAGGATCCTGAGCATGTGGAGCCCAAACCGCGGGCACCACTGGGGATGAACCCCCATCTCAGAGCCCACCSAGACCCTGGGGGTCTGAACCCCCACCTCGGAGCCCACGCGGACCCTGGCTTGGAGCAGTCTCCCCCGTGGCAAGGAGCCGGGTGGCCCGTGTGACCGGCGCTGGCATCACCCTTTGTCACCCTCCGGGCGCTCCAGGCTTGCTCAATCTGCAGCAACATCCTGTGTTTACCTGCCTGGCTGCAACGCCGCAGCGAGGGGAGGAAGAGGAGGGCAGGAGCCTCTTCCTCTTCCGCTGCAGCCTGGGTGGGTTTTAAGGAGGCAATTCCCGATCCTGGCTCCCCAGAGCCGTGGGGCTGCACGTGGTTTTTCCCTTTCCAGTGTTTCGGATGGAAAGCACGGCCCGATGCCGCCCCAAACTGGCCGAGAAGCCAGAGACCGAGGAGAAACGTGGTGACCCCAACAGCCAAGACAGGAGCTCCTGTCCTGGGCCAGCTCCTTGGCGCTCGGTCTCCTGATGTGAAATCACCTCTAAAGCAAAGGGACACCCTGGATTTAGCCCCATGGCGAGGCTGGATCCCGGATACCTTCCSTGACAGCTTCTTGGCTTTGGCACGGGCGCTCAGCGCTGCCTTTTGTGTCCCCAAAGCTTTGGGGAGCAGCTAAGCGCAGATCCCCAGGGAAGGGCCGCGACGGAGCGGCTCAGCCCTGAGCAGTCCCAGTGTTTGGTACGTGGGGCTGGATGCAGCCTCCCGGAAAAGGGGAAAGCGCTGCTCTGGAGGAGCCATCCYGGACACGAGGAGCGGGAGCGGCTGCCGCTGGGACACGGACACTGGGGGCTCCCGGGGGGCTTGGGGCCGGAGTGGGGRGTTGCCTGACGTGTGCGGTGCTGGTGCCCAGCTCCGGGTACSGGCACCATCTCCGTGTTGGCTCAGCGCTGCCATGGAGGATCCTGCAAGGAGCCCATGCAGGGAGGACGAGGCCAAGCCCAAAGGCAGCCACAGCTGAGCTCTATTGGCACCCTATAAATTAGGGAGATCGATACCACCAGCTGGGTTGGCCTGGGAAGAGTGGCTTGGGGCTAGGTCTGTGGCTTAGGTGCTCCCTCGTAGGTGCTCCCTCCTAGGTGCTCCTGACCGTCTGCGCAGCCAGTGATTCCCTCTGGGTGAGCTGGAGCTGAGCTCCACAGATTTGCTTGGAGCAGATGCTCCCTGGTTGGAAGCAGCCTGTGGCTGTGTTGGGATGGCTCTTTTGCCCTGTGAGTACATCCTGCTGGGGCTGGCCTGGGTCTTGGGGTCACTCTGAGACCTGCCGCTGTCCTTAGCTGAGGGTTAACCCTAGATCTGCTTTAAACTGTGTGYGTGGGATCCTGTCGTGCGACTTGGAAGTGCCTTGAGATGCCTCCAGCTGCACCTGCTGGGCTCTCACCTGGGGATGAGACTAAGAGAGCCTTAAGAGATGACCAACCACTCGGACACCTGGTCTCCAGCCTTGCYGTGAGAGCTGGTGTGGTGCTGAGCCCCTGCAGCCCATCCTTTGTGTGGGTTCGAGGTCACAGCAGGTACCTGAGCTGGGATTTCTCCATCGCTTCTTGTGGGTCCTTTTGGAGCAGCCGAGGTTGGCAAGTCACAGCGCTGCAGGGACCGGGCTCAGTGCCACCTGCCTTGCAGCGGATCAGGAGGCTGGTGGCATCTGCCACCTCCAAGGCGGTGCAGGGCTGGGTGCAGGGAATGCGCCCGCGGTGTCTGCCGGGCAGGAAATTCCTGCTCCCGGAGCCGCACGGCTGAGGCACCAAGGCCTGGGCAGCGGGAGAGCGCTGCACTTTGCTAAAACCGCTCCGTTTGGGGAAAGCGGGAGCCTGCCYTGGTTCCGAGCCAGCCTGCGCCCCGAGCAGAAGCTCCCCCAACAAGGACATCTGTTATTTTTCTAGGATTTGAAAGGAGGCGGAGGGGGGAAGGAAAGAACGAGCAGAAAGGCCGTGTCGGTGACTCAGCGTGGCGGCCGCTCTCCGGGAGTGGGAGGGTTTGGGCTGAGACGGCGCCRGGGGCAGCGCCGCCCGCTCGGCCCCTCCGTGGGGCTGGCGGCTCCGCAAAGCAGCTTTAATAATAACTATTATTAATAGTTATAGGCAGTGCTTGCGTCGTGTTGTGGCCTCTGTGCTGCTTCCTGTAGGATGCAATGGATACAAAATCCTGCAAAAAAAAGGGGAAAAGAAGGGGACTCTGTGCAACAGGTTTTGCTGCCTTTGCCAGGGCAGGTGGAGCGAGCTGGAAGGGAGGAAGAGGAGGAGGAGGCTCCTGGCCCGTCTTTCCCTGTTGTAGGATGTGCGTGTCCCCGCATCCCTGGTCCATCTAGGAGGAGGGAGCCGGGCCGCTGGAGCGGGGCCCGCTGCGGTAATTCCCATGGTGCCGGATGCACCACGAAACTGGACAGGATCCGGGCACTTCGCTCCTCTTGAAGCCGCCTATTCAGGAGAGACACAAGGAGGACAAGAGGGAGGAAGCTGAGGGGAGCCGGAGCACTGAGGGCCTCTGTTCGCTGCCGCCGACGGATGCAGGTGCAGCCGCCGCGGCCCTGGATGCTTTGACCGCCTTTTCCTGAGGGGGAAGCGGAGATGCTGCCGGAGGGATGTCCCCGGCCTCGGGTGGCCTCTCGCATGTGTTCCCGCTGCCGCCGGGGGGGCCTGGGTGTCCTCGGCTGCTGCCTTGAGGTGACAGCGCGGAGTGGAGTCTCTGAAGCCTAGTGCAGGGCTGAGCTCTCCCTCCGGTCTCCCCGCGCTGAAGCTCTTGGCCTCGTTGTTGTCCTTCCCCCAGGTCCCATCTTCAGGAAACGCTTAGAAATCAAGTGTTTAAATGTCCCTGCGCAGGACGGGCATCCCGYGTCCCTGGGGCTTGGAGCCTAAGGATGTCACCTGCCCGGGAGTCTTCATCAGCCTCAAGGGTGCACGAGATGGCAGCCGGCRGAGAGCCGCTTTCCGAGGGGAGCCAGCGGTCCTGCTGGGAAAGGCTGGTTGAGGGAAAGAACTGGATATGGGGACACATGGGGGTTTTCTTGTCCCATTCTCCTAGATACCCCCCAGTCTGCAGCTTGGACGCTCCCAATTTGGAGGTGCATCCGAGGATGCCTTTTGCAGGAGCACCTGTGGATGTCGGGAGCTCTGGTTTCCGACTCCCTCCGGGCGCTGGCCTCGCTGTGAACCGGGAGGCCCTGCCCGGAGGCCAGATCCGGAGCCACGTGGTTCCTTGTGAGTTCCGGGCGCAAGCTGCAAAGGCCGAGGCAGAGCTGCTCCGTATGGAACACCTCTCGGGAAGCATTGCACAGGGAATAATGCAGAGCAACGGGCACACCGAGCTTGCCTGGAAGCCTCTGTCAGTCCCTTGGGATCAGATTGGTGGCTTTGGTAGAGGAAACCGTAAAACGCAGCCTTCGCTTTCCAAGCAGCTAGGACCCTTCCAAGCCTAAAGCGTGCGCTTAGGTTAGCAAGGCAGGTCCTGGGAGCTTTTCCTGCCCACTGCTGACCAGTGTGGGATTTCAATGCATGAGGCTCAGCCTTATTTGGCRTTCGCTCTTACTGGTCAAGTTGTTCAGCTCCTGCGTCTCAGCGAGGGCTGTTTTTGACACAGCTCCAATCCATCACGAATGTGTCATGGTTTGCRCCCCTGGCCCCAGCACACTCAGTGACGTGCGAGCAGGAAGAGGCTTCCTGCGGCACGGAGGAAACTCACTGTCTTTAGCAAGT